AATTCATTTTTCTTGTCCCACGTTGATTTTAAGTTATAAAAAATTACATGAAAGTCTCTTATAAAACTATAGACCTAAAGAAATATTAATCGCACTTTTCTCGGCCTTTTAGCTAAGATCAAGTGTAGTACTAAATTTTTTTGGGTCAGCTTTTTGGCTAACTTTTCTCAGCCTTACAAATTACTTAATTAAATTCATTTTTCTTGTTACACATTAGTTTTGAGTTATAAAGGATTACATGGAAGTCTCTTACAAAACTATAGACCTAAAGAAATACTAATTACACCTTTCTCGGCCATTTGGCTAACCTTTATCGGCCTTTTGGTTAAGATCAAGTATAGTGCTAAATTTTTTTGAAATTCTAAGAAATGAGAAAATTAAGGATATTCACCAGAAAGACTAATCCAATCCATAATTATGTACTAAAAATTATTTAAAGAGTTTAATTTAAATTACAAATTACCTAATAAAATTCATTTTTCTTAGTTCCACATTAGTTTTGGGTTATAAAGAATTACATAGAAGTCTCTTATAAAACTATGGACATAAAGAAATATTAATCACACTTTTTTTGGCCTTTTGGCTAATATCAAGTGTAGTACTAAATTTTTTTAGATCGCCCTTTTGGCTAACCTTTTTCGGTCTTTTGGTTAAAAGAGTTTCAGTCTATACTATTATTAAATGTGTAAAGAGTTTGTGTCTTTTTATTACCTAATAAAATTAAAATAAAATATTTATTAAAACTCGAAAAACATTTCAAATTTTAGAAACTCTAAAAATTATTACCTAATAAAATTCAAATAAAATATTGATTAAAACTCTAACACAAAATATATTTCAAATTATAGAAACTTACAATATATATTTCAAATTATAGAAACTTTATTTTTTAGAGTTTCTATAAAACTCTAAAAATTATTACCTAATAAAAGTCAAATTACTTATGTTATCCATTCGTTGTTTCTAAAAAAATCTATACTCTCTAAATACAAATCACTTTAAAAATTATTACCTAATAAAATTCAAATAAAATATTTATTAAAACTCTAATACGAAATATATTTCAAATTACCTTAAAATTATTTAAAGAGTTTAATTCAAATTACCTAATAAAATTCATAAAAATTAATTTAAAGTGTTTAATTCAAATTACAAATTATTTAATAAAATCCATTTTTCTTGTCCCATGTTGGTTTTGAGTTATAAAGGATAAATGGAAACCTCTTATAAAACTATAGACCTAAAGAAATATTAATAACACATTTCTCGTTAACTTTTCTCTGCCTTTTGGCTAAGAGAGTTTCAGTATTTCAGTATATTTTTATTCATATAAAAAAAGAGTTTTTATTAAAAAAAAAAATTTGCCTAAAAATTATTTAAAGAGGTCAATTCAAATTGTAAATTACCTAATAAAATTCATAAAAATTAATTTAAGGAGTTTAATTCAAATTACAAATTACTTAATAAAATTCATTTTTCTCGTTCCACATTGATTTTGAATTATAAAGGATTACATAGAAGCATCTTATAAAACTATAAACCAAAAAAAATATTTATATTTATTATGAGTTTTTTTAATAAAACAAAATCTAATTAGACAAGAATTATTAATATTAAAAAATCATTTATCAATTGATTTGAAAAGAGTTTTTAAAAAAGTTTTTGAAAGAGTTTCTATATAAAACTCTAACACAAATTATCTATTTATTTATTATGAGTTTTTAATAAAAGAAAATATAATTGGACAAGAATTTTTAATATAAAAAATAAAATAATTTTTCTAAAACTCTATCACAAATTACCTTTTATTATGAGTTTTTTAATAAAAGGAAATCTAATTAATTGTCTAGTCGGCTCTTATACACGCACTATGGTAGCGACAAGAGTTTTTATTGTAGCTCGGCTTCTTCCTCTTTTCACAGTCATAAAAGTTATTTATAAAAGAGATTCTATAAAACTCTTAACACAAATTACTTATTTATCTATTTATTATGAGTTTTCTAATAAAAGGAAATCCAATTAGACAAAAGAATTATTAATATAAAAAATATTTATTTATTGATATAAAAAATTAAATAATTTTTCTAAACTCTACCATAAATTACCTTTTATTATGAGTTTTTTTTTAATGAAAGGACATCTAATTAGACAAGAATTATTAATAAAAAATATTTATTAATTGATTTAAAAAGAGTTTCTATAAAACTCTAACACGTATAACCTATTAGTCTATTTATTATGAATTTTTTTTTAATAAAAAAAATCTAATTAGACAAGAATATACTAAAAGAAAATAAAATAATTTTTATAAAATCTACCACAAATTAGCTATTTTATTCTCTATAAAACTATATCACATTAATTTATTTATTAAGAGTTTTTTAATAAAATTAAATCTTATTAGACAAGAATATATTTTAAAAAAATAAAATAATTTCTATAAAACTTTACCACAAATTAACTATTTTATTTTTTATAAAACTCTATAACATATACCCTGTATTTATCTATTTATTATGAATATATCTAAAAAAAAAAATAATAATTTCTATAAAACTTCACCACAAATTACCTATTTTATTTTCTATAAAAATCTATCACATTAAACAAGGATATATATATATATATATATATATATATATATATATATATATATATATATAATGCAGGGGTTTCCAAAAAATCTCAAACTCCATATGATAAATTTTTATATCAATTTCATTCTAATGCATGATTAGTTTAATTGAATTTCTATTTTAAAATTTAATTAAAAATTATTATAATTGTATTTCTATTATAAATTTCAAATTATACTAAATGTAAAATTACCTAATAAAATTCAAATCTATACTAAATGTAAAATTACCTAATAAAATTCAAATCTATACTATTATATATATATATATATATATATATATATATATATATATATAATTTTTTAAATATTACCCAATAAAATTCAAATTACAAATTACCTTATAAAATTCAAATTACTTAAAAGAATTTATTACTTTACAAAACTCAAACTTTACCACCAATTTCAGTATTAAAATAATAAAATATTTCAGTATTAATATAAAAACTTAAAAGAATTTAGTAATTTACAAAACTCAAACCCTACCACCAATTTCAAAATATTTTAGTATTAATATAAAAACCTAAAAGAATTTATTACTTCATAAAATTTAACTCTAGCACCACTTTCAAATTATCTAAAACTCATCTCGACTATGTAAAATAAATACAAGCATATCACACAAACAAACAAATATATATCATTGTATATGCAAAGATCAATAAATAAAACAAATATTAGTGCGTGTATATATCTATATCTATGCTATTATTAAAAGTGTAAAGATTTTTAGTATTTCAGTGCTTATTTATAAATATAAAAAAATATTTATTAGTTGATATAAAATGAATTAAAATAAAAGAGCTTCAAATCATTATTAAAACAACTAAAAAATAGGTAAAATAGGCAATTATTTAATACAATAATTTACCAAATAATAAAATAAGTTACAAAACATTCATCACGTGCCTTTTACTAGTACTCCCTTTTACTAGTACTCCCAAAAATGGAAAGAAATGAAAGAAAAGATTTTCACTTTTAATCAAATTTTGTTATTACCAACTTTGTCCATATTTTTATAAAAGACAATTTATAAAAAGGATATATGATGAATCGTATCCTCTCATTTCCTTTCTTTTCTTTCCTAACTAATCTTTATCTTTTCCTTTCCACCGTAGCAAACAGAGAGATTTCCGAGAGACAAAATGGTGCTACTTAATGATTCTTGATACACATTAACAAAAAAAAGAAAATGGTGCTACTTAATGATTCTTGATACACATTAACCAAAAAAAAAAAAAATTAATAGGTCCACTTAACTTCATCTTATCACAAGAACTATGTTGAGTGATACAAGGCTTCTCAACTTAAGATTCCACTAACAGTCACGTAATTGACTAATGAGTATACAAACGCCAATCACCAGTTCCCAACTAAATTCTTTTTAAGACTAGTGATGGATAAGGACCGATCTTTCTTCTTTCAAAGTGTTCAAATCAACAATAAACACATCAGTCAGCAATAATACCGAGAGGCCTTTATCATTTTCCTTGACCAATTTATCATTGATTATGATTGATCACAAATTGAATTTGAAGGTCTGTTTCTAAATAAAATGATTTATTATATATTTATTTATTTAAATTATTATTTTTGTAAAACAAATGTTTTATTGTGATTGAGCCAGAAATAATAAAGGTACCAAAATAAATGTATTAATTAAGTAGTCAGATTAATGGCTTTATTTATCCGATAACTAATTCTGCATAGAGGGGTCAAAGTGCAACATTGACTTAGAGGTTATTTATTATTTAATTAGAGTTCAATTAATTTCTTTTAGTCGAGTAAAGATTAATTAATGAATTAATTGGTAATTTTACAAGACTGATTTATCTTTTGTCCTAGTGACTCGAACTCTTAACTTCTAAGTCTTAAGTCATAGGTCAAAGTTTCAAGACCCGTAAGAGAGAAGAAAGAAAGAAAGTAAAATTATGAGAACAATCACTCTGTTTCAGTGCAAATAATGTCAAGATGTAAGATTTCTCAGCCACAATAGGTAAGGACAATAACTTGAAATGTCAATTCTGAAATGAGCAAAGCAATAAAGAGAAAAACACTCACAAATAAGAAATAATTTTTCACCAACATAGGGAGATTAATAGAAGTTTCACAATTATTCTTTAAATCTTAGCTTGCCAAAATAAATGTAATATAGCCTGCTCAAAAATAAAAATAAAATGTGACATAAATAATTCAATTCAGTGATTGCTCTAAATTCAAGTTTTCTTGGTAAATCTTGTCAGCACTTTGAGTAGCTCAAGTCTTCCCAAGATTAAATATATGATGAATAGGTAGTGCAAATTTAACAGAAGAGACAGTAAAACTTGGTTCAAAGAAATAAGAAACCTGGGACAACAAACATACAAGTTTCCAACTACCCAAAAAAATTTATACCTACCAAAATGAAGAAGAAAAATCAAAACAAAACATATATCAAATGCATCTCCAAGAAAAGTTTCTTCTTTTAAGTTCACTTTCTTGTGATTTTGTTTTAGCAGAAGTGCTCCATCACCAAGACATGACTTAAATCAAATGCATGAATTAAAAAAGTAAAAACAGGTGAAGTTTTGAAGTGCAAAAGGCCTCATGATTCAATTGGGTTGGTTACCCATGAATACTTCATTAGCCACAAAAACATGAAACTTGCACAAATATAATGATTTCAAACCTCACTGCGTGAAAGAAGTTAGAACATCTTGTGGTGGTTAATCACAGCGAGGAGGACTTCTCGCAAGTATGTCCATTTTGGTGGAATGGAGACCCAGAAGGAGCTATCAAACCAAGAGTTTGCATTACTTTCATTCTTCGTGCACTCAGTTCTTGCGATTTTCCCACTGGAGTTGTTGCCTGAGCAGCATTTCAAAATAGATCAATACATGGATGAACTCGCAAGGTAGAAAAGAAGTGAATAAAAAGACTGCTTACAGCACTTGGTTTATTTGGAGTGACTTTTTCCTGTACCACATCGTTTTTGGCGGATTTGCTTCTTGCTTCTTCTGCTTTCTTCAAAAGCAAATAGCCATTCTTTTCCTTTGCCTCTGGTTTCTGTGGAAGTAAAATGTCGCCTTTCATCACAGTTTGAGGTTTAGTGGCAGTTGATAACCTTCTCGGTGAGATCCTTACCTGCTGTGAAGTTTATTTTATGAAGGAAATAGTTAGAAAGCACAATATTATTGAGAAAATGGGACCTGTACACTCACGGATTTTGGACTGTCTTGCTTTTGTTTTTTGTTTTTGACTTTTGCAGTTTCTTCTGAAAGTAGACTTCCATTCTTCGTCACTGTTTGCTGTGTAGGGGTAGCTGGCTGTCTTCTTGGAGAGATCCTTACCTGCTGACAAGTTTATTTACAATTAAAATACAATCCAAGTTTATTTTACAATGAAAATATACCTTTACAGATCATAAATCAGAAAAAGCAAGAGGTTTATTAAGAAATTGGTTGAAGAAAGCTGTGTCGAGTTTCCTTTGTCTATCTTGCTTTCTTTTTTCCCTTCTTTCTTTCAGTTTTTGCTGAAAGTGAATTAAAATTCTTCAACTTTGCTTGTGGTGTATTGACAAATGACAGCCGCTAAATTTCGAGAGACCCTTCCCTGATACTGAGACTAAATACCCACACACCCATCATAAGATGAGGTCCAAAACATGTAGAAAAGAGGCTATCACCTAGTTACGGTTCCACAGAAGTGTGCGCTAAAAAAGGTCGACTAGAAACAACAGCTAAGAGCTTGCTTGGGTTGTCACTCAGAAAACTGTTTTCAAAGAACTATAAAAGACGGTTCTCTGTAAACAGACCTTTTTTTTTTAACTGGGTTTTCAAGAAAGCAGTTCTCGGAAACTGTCAACTGAGCAGATTTTTTTACAGTTTCCTGGTTTTCAGTTCTCAAAAAAAAACAAAAGAACCAAGAAGGCCCTAATTTTTTGCATTATTAGCACAAAGTGTCTATTATTCCACTCAAACCCGCATTCTCACACAAGTGCACCTCGAGAGCATATGAGAAAAGGTGAAATCAAACTCTTGTCTTCTGCAAGCAGACAGATCCACTGGTAATATATGGTCCAGCCTTCTCTTATTATTAGAAACAGATCATGCTTACTCATCTGGTCATTTGAGCTAGAAAGAAGTAAAAGTGGTACAGGATACTTTGTGAATGATTCAAGATAGAAGGCACATTAAGCAACCGACCGGGTGAGTTTCCTAAAGTGAATTTCAGAAGGAAGGCAAAGCCACTTATTTATGAGTGCATACGTGACCCTTGTATCGGTCATGTGTACGCAGGGATGTGACTGACGTCTCCTGCTTGCTTTGATGAGGAGGATGAGAGAATGGCTTTGACGTATTCTCGCTTTCCTAGGCATTATTAGCACAAAGTGTCTACTATCCAACTGAAACCCATATCCTCAGAGAGTGCAAATAATGTCAATTCAAAAAATACTGCTGGAAAATAGAGCAGCAGACAACTCACAGAAGTTAAATTATCAATCTTCATGATGCTACGCCGCTTGCTTGCTCCATTCTCTGAAGCATTTTCCATGGAAGTTGCAACTTTATGTTCTACCAAAGCACCATTTGTCTGAAAAAAGGTTCATGTCTTCATAAAATCAGTAATAGCGAGTAAGCATAATCTTTAATGGAACATAGGACCGTATAATGTCAGAACAGATCCTACAGATATTGGAGTTTCTACTTCATGGCCTTTCTCGACTACATTATGCTTTGACCTTTTGCCTTGAGAAGCATCGACTTTGATCTTTTCTGCCAAGGAAACAATATTTATCCATATATTAACAATACCCAAGTAGTTAAAAGGCCAAATTTTATAAGTAGCTTTTAAAAATAAAAAATAAAAAAGAAGAAGAAGAAGAAGTAATCTAAGATGCTAATTTTCAGTTATAACCCTAAAAAATAAAAACCAACATAACAGATGTCTTTTCTTTTTATTTTTTTCAATAAAAAAGCATTACTTTTATATAATATCAGAAAGTTAATGTATATTACTACTGGTTACTGCATGCATTTTCTAGCATAAATGAGGACAGGAGGGCTGGCAGTGTCAACATATGGACCACACAAGTGAAATACAAGGGGAAAAAATTACGGAAGTACCAACAGATTCATGACTTGATCAGGGTCAATTTCTATAAATAACAAGGTTTATATCTCGTTTCTACCAAGCATCACTAGCAAACAGGGATCTCATATTATCTTGGGTCTTGACACTAAAAATCACCAAATTATTTTCAGGAAATAAAAACTTGTTTTAGATGGGTTGGTATTAAAAAAATACAAATTTAGGCAAGGATGGATATATAGATATTAAAGTTTCAAAAGAAGTCAGATGTTTTGATTTTTTTTCAATTTTCAATGATAATGCTCTTTAAGATTTTCCTTAACAAAAGAATTAAAATTTTCATTAAAAAAATAAGTGTAACATTCTTTTGGGGAATGTCAAATATGTGATTGTAGTTATAATTCAGGTTTTGAATCATTAAAAGGATCAGTTTGCCAAAAAATGGGGAAAAGTTGTAATTTAATTGTTTTTAAATTTAAATATATATGGTTTGGGGAAAAGAGATGTTGGGTTATAATTCTATTATACTCAACAGTAGAGAAAACCTATATGAGCTTTTTCCATTTTTTGTTTTGAATCTGTAGGTGTTTGGATTCACTAAAAATAGCAGACTTTACAAGTAGAAATTTCTACACATTTATCACGCAATTGTTTATCAAATATCTCAGATTAACATTCTTGGATTTCCATACTAGATTTTTGGAAAACATGGATTTTTTTATTTTTCTTAATTGCAGAGCAGCCCAGCTTCAAAATAGCACACTTTACAAGTAGCAATTTCTATTCATTTGTCATGCAATGGCTATATTTTTTATTGCATATTTTTAAAGCATGCTTCCGGTTGATGTGGAAAGTTGCTATATAAAACCCATGATAGAATCACAACTAAGATTACATGTTTGACTGAAACATACTAAATAATGTTAGTGCAAATATATGAGGGGTGTAAATTACTATAAGTGATTGTAATAGCGTGACAGAATATTGGCTGACCTTCAGATTTGGATCCTTTCCCTTTTGATCTACCAGATCTGAAACGAAGAAGATCCTATAACCAGTTCCAATATTGGAGAAACATATTACTTACAAGCGTAGCATGTCATCAGCCTATGAGATGAAAATCTGCTGTACTAATAACATTCTTAAGGGTAACAAATTGAAGACAACACACTTACAAGCTCCAGAGTTCTTTTGAGTACTTCGCTAAAGCTACCATTGTTTTGCTTTAGTATCTGAGAATTCAACGAAACAGTCAATTAGACACAAGTAAAGGAAAATGATTTGAAGAGCTGATGGAACTTAGATTATAGACACAAGTAAAGGAAATTTATTTGAAAAGCTGATGGAAGTAAAATTGTCCAACTATTTTTACTTGAATGAAAAAAGAATTGAGAGTTGGAGTAATGTATTGAAATTTACATTCTCAAACTCGGAGCGAAATTTCATGGGATCCACATAAATACTGCAAACATTGAACATTAGTTACTAAAGTTCATGAATGCACAAATTGGCGAAAAACACAATTGAAACAAGCAGGGATAAAATCACCGACTATTTATAGCTTCCATACAATCGAACAAGAACTTCACCAGCAGATCTATTGCTGGGTTTATTGCCACCACTCACAGTGTTCTCATCTACAACCTACCAAATATATGAGTAAATAACAATAAAATGTGTACTAATTGACAAAGTCATAAAATCTCAAATCATGAATTTGACATAAATACTGCACAAGCAGCACTGCACATACCTGGGCAGGCCACCATGAGGAGCCCTGGAGCCTAAACCATATAAATTCCCCTAAGATGAACTCCTCACTTAATTGATTAGTAGCAGCTGCTTCCCCACCTTCCTTGTCAACAAGACTTCTATCAGTTGCAAGACTTTTACGTTTCATATCTTAACTTTGTAGTTTGAATGACTCGCTCTGCACCCAAGTACATAAAATATAATCATGCATCGCCACTAAAGCAATAGCAATAGCATTTACGTTTCATATCTTAACTTTGTAACTTTTACGTTTCCTCTTTGTTTCCTATTTTCTAATTCTTTCCATTCTCATAATTTCTTCTCCTATATAAAAGAGCCTCCACCATTGTATTGTGTATGAATTGAGAGAGTATTATAAAAGTGATGTAGCCCTTTGGGCTCTTTGTGCCATGGATGTAGGCCCTAGTGCTACTTGTTTTATTTATCTCTTTGCTTCCATTTTATGCTTTACAACAAAAAGTTAAAGGACGTGCATTATGGAACTGTTACACTAGTAAAAACAACAATGAGAAAAACAAGTGAAATTTTAATTATCATAAGCCTTAAACCCTTAGTTATAAGTAAACTACAAGGATTACATTTCATACTGTATATTATTCAACTGATTTAAACTAGAGCAATGATAAATGTTAAATTAGAAGTTTAAAGAGAATGTCTAGATTCAAGAGGGTTTAAGACAAGCTGGACTAAAACTAGATATACAGAATAGTATAATTTTAGCAAAAGTAGAAATATAGATAAGGATATAATGAAGATAGAGGGCCACACACAAAAACAGCCTTTTCATGACCTAAACTCAATTATTTACATAAAGGGAGATTTTGTAAACAATCTAATCATATTATTGAAGCAAGATAGGTTAAATGGAGGAGTACTTTTAACATTTTGAGATTGAACAGGTGCAAGATAGGTTAAATGGAGGAGTACTTTTAACATTTTGAGATTGAAAAAGTGCAAGATAGGTAAAATGGAGGAGTACATTTAACATTTTGTGATTGATGTCTGTGTTTAAAATTGCAAGATATACTTAATAGGATAGAATATTGGGGGACGAAGAAACAACATGTTCATGAAATCAGTAAATACGAAATGAACAAATCTACGGTTGAAGTAGCATTAATTGGAGATAAAACAAGAGAAATTAATAAAGATAGTTTAACAATGTGCAACGAATACCAATAAATAATCTAGTGAGTAAACAGTAACGAGTCCACGTTGAGGGCAATGTATGGGGAAGGAAGATACCAAAACCAACATGGGTTAATATAGTTATAGAAAGATTCTATAGATTGTTGTTTAACTGAACTTATAGCCTAACGCAGAGTGGGAGAGCTAAACATGATTCATATAGTCAATACCAAATTGTTGAGAAAAGACTTTGTTTAATTGAGTTGAGATGCATACCCAGACAAAAGCAAGAACCGGGATATTAGGCATATATCTCATAAGAGTCACACATGTTGAACAATTACAGTACCGGAGATAATCAAGCTCAATAGATCATTTTACGAGACTTCATCAAAACCCACCGTGAAGGCTCAAAACCTTTTGAAATTATGTTTTAACTGTAAAAGAAAATTGTATTTGAAACAATTTTAGAAGTACAACTATCAGCCCATAAAAATACATTCGAACCAAGTTGAACAAGAACTCTCTATATTTCTAGATATGGTCTACCATGAGGGTGGTGGACTCCTCATTGAACTTCGGGTGATTTTTCCACCCTTCAAGGTTCATATGTATTTCTCCAAGGGCTTCACACAATTTATATTCGCAAGATAGACGATTCTAGTAATGACGCGATCCTCATACCCGAGGATTAATAATACCAGTTAACCTCTCGATAGAAAACCATTCTGCCAGAATTCTGGGCATATTTCAAAACTTTGTGACAACACTTGAGCTACTAAATTCATTAAAGATATGTTTGGAACCACCGAATCAGCGGCTTGGATTTGGAATTGGAGAAATTTTAGTTAAGACTTTGAACTAAATTTCTTCCAAGTCCAAATCTACATCCCCGACTTAGTACTCCCAACCGGAACATAAATACATTAGCATTTCCAAAAATGATACTAATCTGCAAATAATTATTAAATAAAAATAATAATAAAAATAAAAATTGCTCTACTGTAAGAAACAGAGAATCCTCTGTCATTTGCATCATCTCAAGGGCACCACAAGTCATAATCCCAATATTCAAATTTTTGAGACAATAAATGCTTATTACACACTTGGTCTCCAAAGGGCCTTCCGAAACCACTGGGCCATTAGCCCAGCTGATATAACCTCAAAAGGGGAAATGAGAGGTTCTAGCCCCATAGTGGGCATTTGTGTGTGTGTGTGTGTGTGTGTGAGAGACAGAGAGAGAGAGAGTATTTACCTTAAAAAAACTCCTGAAGACCTCGAGAGCAACTTCAATAGTTCAGAGTAAGTAAGTTTTGTGCAAGTCCGGTGAGTCCTGATTTGCCATTCCAAAATGGAGGTGTAAACAAGCACAGACTCCACCAGCAACAAGATTACAAAACCACATTTGGGGTTCAGACTATTACGCCCTTATACACGGAGAAATGTGCCCTAATGTTAGAAAATGAAATCCCCAATTATTTTAGTGTATGTCATTGTAATCAAAACTCTCTCTCACAACCAAATATACCATTTCTTTCTCTATAAATTAACAAATATAAATAAACATACGAAGAACAGAAAGTGCACAAAATGAGCTCATTCAAAGCCCAAAAAATCCTAAAATGTACCCCACTGGTACATACAAAATTCATCCATATCAATCTCAAATTCGAACGACCATGGGGAGAGAGATACTTACATGCAGAATCACTGGGACTACAACTTTCTCTCTCTAGAAACTTCAAGCAACAGGAAGTTAGAGAGAGAAAGGAGCGTCGTTTGGGTTGAAAATGAAAGAGACTTCATTACTTGAATTTATTCATTTGTGTCCTTTCACACGTATGATGCCCGTCACGTTTTCCTTTTCCGATCTGATTATTCGAATTTCGAAGTGTTGTTACCCTTTGATCATCTCCCACTTTTCGAGTCTTTCCTGGCCGTCCGATTTCCAAACCGTATTGTGGGCCCCACATAAAGGCCAACTGAAGCATTCAGTGGCGTCGGCTGCTATCGTACGCTGTCCGCGCATGTCGAACACATTAGGCTAAAATGCGCTGCCTGGCACAGTACGCGATTTTCGTTGTCTTTGCAACAAACACCTGCAACTCAAAACCGCTTTCTCTCTCTGGCTTCTTGGCATTGTGAAGTCAATAACTTGTTAGCATTGACATGTAAATTCTAGGGACTTCTTAATTTTTTGTGAGTTGGCCATTGCCTGTGGTCGGATCTATGATAGCACGGAGCTTGAGCACGAAAACAACAATTTAAATCATATTGAGTAAGAGTGAGATCAGGATTGTGTGCCTTTAAATGGGACTGCTTGCTTGCGTAATTGTGTAATCACACTAAGTGCTCCCAATTTGAATGAGATTTGCCATTGGAGGTGCCAAAATGAGTCCCTTAAATATCTCAAATTCTTCTGCTCTTTCTTCATGGCTTCTAGTGATTTTACAAGTTTGTAATAATTGAGCCTTTTGATGAGTTTATGATACACCCCTCTAAATGGTGGAATTCCATGTTGTCTCCCATTTTTATGGTTATCTAGATTATTATGCTTTTTGTACTCAAAATGTTCATTTTTTGAATGAATTCTGGATGTAATTGTAGTCTTAGAATTAGAATCGATAAAATTAAAAAATAAAATTAATTCAATTTGGTTAAGTACTTTTTTCTAATTTCACAAATTCTAATTTCAAAATTTTAATTGCATGCAACCGAACGCAACCTGTATTCATTTCTTTGTTTTATTTTTGTCTCCTTCCCTCAAAGAGATTGTCAACTTGTCTTCTATTTTGATATACCTGAAAATAAAACAAGGTACAAAAGGTTGTTTAATTGCAATTTTTTGAAAAATTTGTTCCAAAAAAAAAAAAAAAAATTTGGTTTTATGAGTTAACAATGTTTTGAAAAAATAATATAGAAAACTCCTAGTGCGCACTAAATTGGTCCTTTAGATTTGGAATTAAATTTAACTAAGAATTTCTTCCAATTTCAAATTCAAAGCAGAGTGCTCCCAAATGTAACATCAATTACTTTAGAAGTGGCATAAATTTCTGCAAAATTTGGAACCTGTGTGAGCAACTACTATTGAAACTTGAATGGTTATGAATTGGAAAAGCCTTAGATGGTAGCAAAATGAAAACAAAATCTTCACTGTAAGAACTCTAAGATGTCACTGTTTGTAATTTTCCCACAGTTAAATTATTACATGATTCCGACCAAACACAACTCTAATAAAGTTAGCACATTTGATTGCTCAAATCAATTAAGCTGTAGTTTATTTAGGGCCAAGTCCAGAAGCTTGCCCCAAAAAGATGCAACAGCAGAGACAACAACTGGTGCAGTGTAGCCATGGTGTCAAATGTTGGCGGCACAACCGCTGCTACTGCTACGAATGTTTTTTTGTTCTCCCATAGCTATCTGCCATTAGGATCTCAAACAACTTCTAATTAGGGTTTTCAGCCGCTTCCAGAAACTGAAAACTTCATTTTTAACCAAGAGCAACAAAAACATGTGGCATTATTGTGTTTGGAAGCCTCAACAAGAGAGTGGCATTTTAGCCTCAAAAGTATTGTCAGCATGATTCGATGAAAAAAACAGACACAGAGAAAAAGAAAGTTCAAATTGGGGTAAAGCAAATTATAGCTAAGTAGCTGACAAAGCATAGTCTGTGTCCCCAAAGTATTACTGTTCATACAACAACAAACTAACAAAAACTATACATTCACCTTGTCATGCCACTGTAATAATTTCTTTGTTTAGTACCAGATATAGACATTCATATTCTATGCAGTGTAGATGCTATTTTAGTTAAGAGCTTGCACCATTGAAGAAGTTAATTTTCAGAAACAACCACCCAAATGTAGAATTGTTTATGTAAAACTCCATAAAACTGTAGAAGTTATTACAAGGTCCGGGACCATTGCTCCCGGGCTGTGCTTCGACAAAAGTGTCAGCCCTAATATTGACGACTCGATACCATTGATGAACACGAGTTTGACTCCAAAAACAATGGCACTTTGAACAAATAATAGTTTTGACTCCAAAAACAATGACACTTTGAACAAATAATCGTCCTGCATGGCCACATCTAATCTGTCCATCCAAACAAGCTCGATTAAACCTGAAGGAAAGAGACCTTTATTTCGTTGAGCGGGTGTAGTACAAGACTCTAAGCACTTGTTCCACTTTCAATTCCTTGTGCGGCTATTAGTTATGAGAGTGACTCAAAACAAGCTACATTAAGAGTATAATAACAAGTTATTTATGCAGTGCATGATCAACAAGAGGCAAGGGAAAACACCAACGCTTGAGATAAATAAGGGAATGAACATGTGAAATGAAACCAAATATCTGCAAATAGATAGATTCATAACAAAGCCCAAAATATACAAATAAATATATATGAGTAATGATAAGGGAACCGAAAAGGAATCCCCGAATTAACACCGAATTTGATGTGGTTGGCTATACTTATCACGTGTTAAAAAATTATTTTTTGAAAACTATTTGAGTAGATGAAGTGTACAAAAACACATCAGATCGGGACTGATTCGGAAAAATCATTCGGTGACCCTGTCATTTTTCAATATATATTCATATGAGCAGCATAATGCATTCATTATATCCAAGAATTGCAATTAATAAAAGCATGTAAAATGAAATTCAACAGATTAAGTAATAGCAGCCCAAGTGATAGATGAGAAAAACACCCTTAATGTTTTAATTTTGGGCAAATAACTCCCCCATCGTTTATTTTGGGTATATAACTCCGTTAAGTTTAAAAAAATGAGCAAATAAGGACTTATGTTGTGTATATAAGTCCATTAAGTTTGAAAAATGAGCAAAAAGGACTTGAGTCAATGTTAAGATATAAAATTCCGAAAACACCCCTTTTCTCTTCCTATAATGCCCTTATAAGGGCAAAGTAATAAAAACTCCTCTAATGTTTACATTTTGGGCAATAACACCCTTATCCTTTATTTTAAGTATATAAGTCCGTTAAATTTGAAAAATATGTGGCAAAGAAGCGCTTGATATCATTGTTTCGTTAAAAATTTATTCATGTGCATTGCACATGACATTTTTAAGATATAAATTTTTTTAAAAAAACCTTGCCTCTTCCGTTAATGTCCTTATATATATATATATATATATATAAACACACTTGTCACATTTAATTAGTTTTTTTACCTATTTTTTATTCGGTTGTAGAGGGATACTTTAGTCTTTCCAACATTCAGGTCCTTGTTTGCATCAAAATGAGGTTTAGAACGTATAGGAGGTTATATACTCTATATGCATACCATAAGGGTATTTTTTGCCCGCAACCCTACATATAAAAAGAATGACAGTTTAGTTATTTCACATTTAATAAGTTTCTTTACCTATTTTTTTATTCAGTTATAGAGGGACACTTTAGTCTTTTCAGCATTCAGGTACTTGTTTGCTCCAAAATTGAATGTTAGGGACATTTTAGAACATATAGGGGGTTATACACTCTATATGCATACCATAGGGGTGCTTTGCGCTCGCGACCCTACATATAAAGAATCATAAACTTGGCATTTCTTTATGAAGCTACATATACAATAATAATCCAAGTGAGAGAATTTAAAGAGGTTGTGTCAAAGATGACAGAGGAAACAGAAATGCTAAATATTCATATAACCTAATTTCACCACATAACAGAAAGCTTGATAATTCAATGATTCCACAAACCTAAAATGCTAAATATTCACATAACCCAGTTGAAGTTCATAGATTAGTAAATCCCCATAGGAAGTACAAGCCAAAGAAAATATGTAAAGATTGATAGAACAGCACAGAAAATTGTATATACGCAGAGACCGGCCGCGAAACCATGAGGATAACACACAACACTGATACTTCTTCTAGTTCAAATTATGCAACACATCCATCTAACAACACAATATTCAAAGTGGATTTTCATTTGAATAAATTGCATATGATTTGGTTAGAAAGTAAGTAAATTATACAGTTTGTATTAACTAATGCCAGGGTACTTCTTGTAACAAAAACAGGACACCGATAATTCAATTCAACAAACCTATTTTTTATATCTACTTTTTATATCTACATTCAAAGCTTGAAGCAACATTCACATGCTTGCCAGGCCAATAATTATCAGGGTACATATGAACAACTAGCGGAATCAATTAATCATGACCCATTGAAACTACAACAAGTTCATCACAAAATACAGATTGATTCAACACCCTAAACTTGCCAAGATCGCAAATTTTGCATTTCATAAGTTATACATCAACCCTATGCAACAGTCAGTTTTTTTTTTTAAACAGAACATCACAAAACAATACCCAAAATGGAAATTCTATATTCTACAAACAAGTACTCCAGTACCTGTAAAAGCTTCCAACTGAGCAGCTTCAGCCTCCTTCCAACAAAAAGACATCAACTTTCCTACTTCAGACCCAACTGCTTCATTCCACTGATCCACATTTCCCCATCTCAACCACTCATTTGGCAATTTTTTCACTGTCTTTCATCAACTTCACATATCCAAATCCAAGTAGTGAACGCTACAAAACCCTAATTACACCTACACATTCTTCCTAGGCCTACCCCTCTTCCTCGCCACTGGCTCCGCCGGAGTCACATTTCCTCCGGAAATGTCCACAAAACCAGCCCCATCCACCGCGCCACCATTGGGCGGCTGCGCCGCTGCAGCTGGCTCCGACGTATTCCCTGCAGCCTGAAACATAGGCGGCATCCAATTCGGAAACCCGGCGCTCTTCCCGCCCTCCGAAAACCCTAACGGAAAGAACCCCCAACAACAACTATACGCCTCTTTCCCGGGCACCAGCGGCGGCAAAGACGGAATTTGAGCAGCGTGGAACGCCCTCTGGCAATTCTGACACCTCAAACAACAGCCCTCGTAAACCCTAGGGTACTCATACAGATTGTAACAGTACGGACACGCCGTCCAGAAACTCGACAGCTTCGCGTCCTCGCTCCGCCTCTTCGCACCCCCCGAATTCGCCGCTGCCGCCGTGTGGCCCCGTCTCACCGGCAATTTCCGCTGGACCTGATCCTGATTGTCCCTCTCCGATTGCCGGAACTGCTGATTCCCCTTTTGATGCTTCATTGCCACGAGATCGACCTTCGTGAACAGGCTCAATTCGTTGTCGTACAGCGATTTCTTCGCCGGATCGGAGAGGACAGCCCACGCGTCTGCGACGAGCTTGAACGCGGAGTCGGCGAAGGCGAACTTGTTCTTGTCTGGGTGGAGGAGAAGCGCGAGTCGCCGGTACTGTCTCTTGATGAGATCGACCTCGTCGGAGCGGCGGTCGACCTGGAGGATGGAGTACCAGTCGTGGTGGTTGTTGATGCGGCGGTCGGCGGCGAGTAGGACATCGGCGACGGCGAGGATCTGGTCGGAGCCGTCGAGCAAGGGCTCGGTCTCTTGGGCCAAGATGGCGAAGTCTCTGGAGCCGCTGAGGTCTCGGCCTTGCAAGAGCTTGTCGGCGATGCCGAGAAGCCTCTCGGCCTCGACTCTTTTCGCTTGTTGCTCCATCATGTGTGTTCTCGAAATGGAACGAACCGTGAAGACTATGAGAAGAAGGTGGGTTTGTGGATGGATCGTTGTAGTAATAGTACTCCGGCTGTTTGTTAGCGTTTATGGGTGAAAAAAATAAGGCATAATACACTCTTATTTGTTGGTCCAAGTGGCCGGGTTCTTTACATTAATGGAAAACAAAGGAGTTAGAATCACTCCAAGTGGCGGCTTCTTCTCACGCCACGTGGCTTTTTAACTGGTAAAAAAACTTATAAATGATAATAATTGAAAATAAATAATATTGCATTTTTCGATTTTAAAGAAACAAAATCTAAAACACGTACGCAACATGGTGGGTAATGGGTATGCATGAAACAAAATTGTCGTCCAACTATAATTTATATCAATATACATATATATATTATAAAAAATAAATAAATTATCTCATATTTACAAGTAGAGCCATGTTATAAGTGTACCCAGTACCTATCCAATGAAAAATAACATATTATCTTGTTATCAATAATTTTATAAGTAAGTGGGCCAATTTTTTTAAAATAATAAAGGGAACTCATATTATAGTAGGAAATTAAAATTTTAAAAAATCGTATTAGAGAAGAAAATTAATATTTATAAAAATATGTGTGTGTGTGTGTATATATATATATATATATGATAGAAACGCTTCGTATTTTATAATATATATATATAGGATAAAAACTTAAAATATGATAGAAACTATTTTTAAAAAACCCCTTTAAGAAATAAATATATATATATGATAGAATAAGAAAAGATAATATTTGATAGAGTTTTATAGAACATAATGTTTTCTGAAATATTAGAACAATAATATGTACAAAGACATGATAAATATATTAAAGAAATGTATATATATATATATGTATAGAGAGAGGACTTACAGTGGTTGAATAATTTTAAGTTGTTGCAGCAGGTGGAGAAGAAAAGGAGGGGAAGATGTAAAGAAGTCGTATTAGACGAGGAAATTAATCTATATCTATATCTTGTTGGACATTTACTTGCGGTAAGTTCTTTATTGATATAAAAAGTTAGTTGGTCTTTAGTGGTCTTTTGCGTTGCATGAAATAGAGGATTTGGTTTAAATTATGTTGATTGTTTGAAGAATTAAATGTTTAATGGTTGTAGATTAATTCAATTTATATGTACTCTATGCGTTATGTGAAGAGCTCGATGCTCAAGACGTGGAGCGTACAAGCGATGTTTACGAGGAACTAAAATGGAATTTGGTAGTTTAGAAATTATTATTATTATTATAAATGTTGCATGATGTTGAACAAGATATTATAAGGGTTTTGTGATCTCATTTATTTTTTTAAAGTAGATGGTGAAGATTTGAGTTTCCAAATGAATAAAGTGGGTGTGTGAGTTTATTGCCAATGACAAAATAAAAAATAAAAAATATATGCGTACTTGGCTTTTCGTAAGGTAGTTTAGAAATTATTATTATTATTATAAATGTTGCATGATGTTGAACAAGATATTATAAGGGTTTTGTGATCTCATTTATTTTTTTAAAGTAGATGGTGAAGATTTGAGTTTCCAAATGAATAAAGTGGGTGTGTGAGTTTATTGCCAATGACAAAATAAAAAATAAAAAATATATGCGTACTTGGCTTTTCGTAAGGTCAGAGAGAAGTAATTTGATTTTAATTTGTGTGATGATCTTAATTTATAATTTGTTCAATTGTTTTTACTATTTAATCACTCACATGCATTGTAATGTTCCGGATTTTTCTAGATTTTTTTTTAATTTTTTATTTTTTATTTTTCATGTCTCATTTTGTGTGCCACTCGGGCTTAAAGTCGAGCCGAGAGTTTTAGAAATGCATTTTTATTTATTTTAAGTCAATTAGAGACGACGGGATTGATTTTAGAATTTTTTTAAAGTTGGGACGATTTTCGGGCTTGGAACTTCTCCCGAGTTTGGCATTTTCATTAAGGGGTATTGTGAACATTTCACACACATATACATATATCTATATTTATACATTGGGGAAATATTTTGTGGTACATGCGCAGCATTGTGATAGAAAAGTGAGGGCAAGATGGTAAGTTAGTAATCCACCAATTGTTAACACTTGACACATTTTTGGCTTTGAAATCAAAAGGAAGACAAGCCCATACCCCCCGGGGCAGGTGTGGTGACTTAGGCGGTCGCCTAGGGCCTCCAATTTGGAAGGGGCTCGAAATTTTAAAATTCCTTATATAAGTTATATTATAATTATTTCATAATATTATTTAAAACTAATCACTGTAGAAATTTAATACTAGGCCTAAAAATTTATATTTTAAAATAACTTTTTATTTTGTTTATTTTCTCTCTTCTCTTCATCCACGTTTTTTAATTAAACTCTAGCCAATATAGAAATATTAGGCCTCAGAGATTTATATCCTTAAATTACACTCTCTTTTTTTTGTTATTCTATATATCTCTTCCTCTCTTCTCATACAGAATCTTAATATTCGTCCCAAATATTTATATTCTTAAATAATTTTTTTTTTTTTCCTCTATTTCATTCACAATTTTTACAACACTAAATTTTTCTCTTTTCGTTAGGATACACCCACAGTAAATATTAAATATGTATTTAACCGTTGTTTGGAAAAGTGGTGAAACTTTCCATTTTCTTTTTCTTTTTCTTATTCCTCATATACTTTCTCTCATCTCTCAACAAATTGTCTTCCTCCTCACTCATTACAAGTTTATAGTTATCTTTCTTCTCCACTCAATACTTATTACTCTCAATTTGAACCTAATGATGCAAAATTCTGTCACAACCCAGAACGACGTTGTAACCTACAGGGAAGAGAAAAAGTTGTCGGAAAGGCACCGGTGCAGTACCAACCCAAGAGTCTCTGACGGTCAAGTTAGTACAAGACCAGGAAAATGAATGGATTCTGCTAGGGATATTTGGCGTACCTTTTGAATTGACTGATCGACTGCCCTTTTTATAGGGTAGGTTGCAGTATTTAACAAGGGAATTAATTTCCCTTTACTTGTTCAATACGAATCGGAGAATCATTCTTTATCCATATCGCTTTATTAATTGTAGCTTATCCAACTCCCTGGCTTCCATGTTTACTAAAGTCTGTGTTAGATTGTAGAGTCTGTATCATCAGTTGCCCTCCATTCTCATTTTTTGATTTCAAACTAAGAAAATGTAAGTTGTTTAGTACATTAAAAGGTTAGTAGAATAATCGTAGAAAAATATTGTAATACCCCGATACAAAATTAATTTGGTTAGCATAATTTAATTTTGATTAAACATGATTTATTGAATATTTGGTGGGATGGGTTGTATTGTGAAATTAATGGTTGACTTCAGAGCTTATTAAGTTTGTGAAAGCCAATGGTAAGAAAATGAATAATAAGAATAATAGTATTATTAATAGTATTGTAACAGGTGACACCTATGTACAGAGGGTGTGCTTCTATGAAGTGGGTATGTACCGAAGGGGTGTGTGTGTGTGATTGATACCAGGTGTGTTTGTATTTGGTTATTGCAAGTAGTGATGGGTGTACTACATAAGTACATAGCTGCTGGTGGTTAGTTTATATATTTATATACTGTTTTAGTAATGGATAAAGTTTCCTTAATAAGTTTTAGAATGGATGTGGTTTAGTTGTACACATACACTAACACGTCGCACCCACACCTTGATTTATATCATGTCATGCTTATTATTATTAGAGTAGTGCTATTGTGAGCGCGCGCTCGCAATAGCACTCACGCGCATCCCCTTTTAGCCATTGGATGTGTCTTCTTGAGATTCGGAAACACTAAAAAAAAAAAAAGAACATAACTCCGTTTCTCTCTTTTCTCACGGCGTTTAACCCAACTTTCTCCTACGCCACTTGAGTTAATTTATTATTATTTTTTTCTGGGCTGGGTCTTCTTCTCTTTCCTCTCTCTCTTTCTACGTTGAACTCACGACCGTGAAACTGTCGCACACGATGGCGTGGTCGGAACTGTGCGCCGGCGAGCAAGGATTTGAACCCGCAACTTGAGAGAGAAGAGCCAAGGAGCCAATTAACTTTAACGGCGAGAAATGATTTACCGGCGAGGATTTGATGAATCGGTAAGCCAATTAACTTTCAGAATGGCGGTCTGTAGCTTGAGAGAGAATAGCACTATTAAGTGAGTCTTGAAAACAGCCCCAAAAATACAATACCCAAAGCCTGCAAAAGTTCAATCACCTTCCTCTCTGTTGCTTTAGGTATTATATCCTGAAAATTTAAAATAATATAATAAAATCCCTAACCAAAATAGAACATAGATCATTCGAGAAATTAGTTTGGGATAACGTGGTTTTGAGTTTTTGAAGGAAAATCAGATGATAATAAACTAGTGGTTGAGTTTTTGAAGGTGATTAAACGATACTGACTTTGAAGAACCAGAAAGAACACCGAAACTGGGTCAGAGAGAGATGAGGCCAAAGAGAGAAAATCTAGTGCACACCTGTAAATTTCGCGGCTACTGTTTTAGTCCGCGTCTATCCGGTTCAGTACTCGTGGTCTCCCGATCATCCTCACTCGCCGGTCCTGTCAATCTTCAATTTTTAAATAATTATCTTTTCCGATCAGCTTCGCCGACGTTCTCTTTTTCCCACCTAGACTTAATCAATGGTTGATTTGTTGATCAAAAGAAATAAAGAGTGTGAGTCATTTGCAGAGACGAAGAGAGAGAGCAGTGTGTTTGATGAAAGACATATGGAAGAGAGAGAATATGTTTTGCCGATAGAGGAGAGAGAAGAGGAACCGTGTTCAAGGTCAGGAGAGAGATAAAAAGTTGGTCTACTAGTTCACAGAACGATAACGTTGCGAGATGAGAGAGAAACAGAACCTGTTATGTTTCTTTAGTGTTCTCGAATCTCAAGATGGACATATCCTACGGCTAAAAAAGGGGTGCGTGTGAGTGCTATTGCGAGCGTGCGCTCGCAATAATACTACTCTTATTATTATTATTATTTTCCCAGATGTCATGCTTATTATTACTCAGCTATATATTGAAGATACTATATATATATATATATATATATATATATATAGTTGAATAGTCGAAGTGGGTGCATAGTTGTTAAAGGCTCAAGGCGCACTAAAGCACTAAGGCCTC